TATATATTTAAAAATTACGCTTAACAATTAGAATAAATAACTAAGAAATATCTTTATTAATATAAAAAAGAAAGAGAAAAAAATGATTGGCAAAAGTCAATAACACTAACACTTTAGTAAATACAAAGTGTAAAAATGTGATTCTTTTACCATTTTAAAATAAAATAATCGTATTTAATTACAATTAAATATTTAAAATTCAATACGAGTTAATATTAAGAATTTCAATCAACCAAAATAAACTATTTATTTTAGTATTGATAATAAATAATAAGTATTTAAACTATTTAATTAGCAAAAGAATCCAATTCTATTCTTTTTCAAAATTATAAACGTAAAAATTATTTTTCAAGTTGGCTCAAATCTTAGGGACTATAAATTTGTTTCCTCGAAAAGATCACCAGTGATGAAAGACATTAGAAAATAGAGCAAAATTAGTTGTAGTATTGTATTATGAGTTAACTTGGTTAATATGCAAACTTGAACAAATGAGAATGAAATAGCATAAAACAAAATTTATTCAAACTGAGTCATCATTAATCATTATTTTTTTTATTTTAGTAACTAAAACCTCACTACAAGAGTAACATTGTAACCTTTGAGGGAAAATAATTTGAGAAGACATAAGATTCAATTCTTCAATTTGTATTATTTCTCAAATTTTTGAGAATCATAATAAAATTATAGCTAATTCTATTTTTGTCTTCTCGAAAAAAATTGATAAAAATATTTTCAGAAAAAGCTCATACATCTTAAAGAGTGATATGTTCTTCCTGAAACTAAAAAGGAAGTATAATAACTTTTGAAATTGAGCTGATAAAATTATAAAGCTAGAACAAAATTTAAGATGAATATATTTGAATGATGATTGAGGACTCTATGAGACATAGTTTCTTTTTTTATTGAGTTCGCAATATAGGTGGAATATTTTTTAATTTCTAGAGCTTAACCTTTATTTTATAACTGAGATATATTTTTTACATAAATATTTATGTAATTCTTTTTAAAACATTATCCATTGAGTTGGGTTACACGCGCAAAGCGCGTACCCTGAGACTAGTTGATCGAAAAAATAGTCTCACACTTTTTCAGAAAAGTTTCTAGGACATCATCAGCTACCTCCATTCATCCGGCATAATTTATATTTGGATTTTTGTCCTTACAGTTTCATCATTTAAATGATTCAATTAACTCAAAGCTAGCATCATGTCTAGCCAACCATCTACCTAAGGTTCTCAAAAAGCTGAACCTTCCACAAAGGGTAAACAATTTCCCCAACAACTCAAATTACTACTTTATTTTTTACATTCATGCATGGTCCCTCACGACAACCTTTTATCTTCCATGCATTTGAGCACTATTTCAGTTCAATCTTTTATTTATTCAAGAACATCAATCTATCCATCACATACCCCTCACAAAACTAATTCAACTACATGATACCAAGGGAGTATCTTTACATGTTGTGTATCATATCATACATCAGTTGGCAGATTTTAGTGGTAAAGACTCAAAAGCTAAATTAACATCACCAAATATTAGATGAAATCAACCATCATTTCTCAGAAATAGCAGCTCATCGTCATCCATTGAAACCATTATGACATAAATGTCAGCATAATCACATAGAAGGATTGCAACAAATATAATGAAAAAACAAGAACTAAAGAACTGTTATCCAATTTCACCTTTTACATCAGTTGCAACTATGGCTGAGCACAGAAGATTGTTTTTCGTGGCGCAAAAGAGAAGCAGACAATTCCTCCATTGAGTTGCACCCATGAACGGGTTTCGATATGATTAACCAACCCTTGATGTACACAAAAAAAATTATGAAGATGAGATTAACCTCCATATACCTCGTATCTTTAACTAACCAAAAGAGAGAAAGAGAGAGTCAGGAGGAGAAAAGCACATACCTGCATTGCACTCGAACCATGAACCACAGATTTTTGCTCCTTCCTGAAGAACAGGGTACTCAAAAGTAGTTTAAGTGTGAAATAACATTGACAGAATATGGGGTACCAAAAGCAATGACAGAATGGGTCTATTAGACCGCTCTCAAACTTCTCCACCATAGTTAACAATTGACAACATCATTGTAGAGGTGTCCATCTATGTCAGGGACAAATCCCTTCTCTATCATTTCTTCTCTGATAATGTCATAGGTAGTTCTATTGGGTACCAATCCTTTTTCCAACATCTCGTTCAAAAAAGCATTTGCTTCTTCCAACTTATCTTTTTGACAGAAACCTTTAATCAACACGTTGTAAGTGACAACATTCGGTTGCTTTCCTTCCTTCTCCATTCTTTTCCTAATAGTAACAGCTCCCTTGGGGTTTCTTTCTTGGCAGTAGCCAGCCATCAAATTGTTGTAAGTCACATGACTTGGGATCAGCCCTTTCTCAGACATCTCATCCAGAAGTCTAACTGACTTTCTTGATTCTCCCCTTTTGCACATTGCATCTATTCGAATATTGTAAGTTACAACATCAGCCTTCACACTCTTCTCCTCCATTTCCTCCAGTAGCTTTTTTGCTGCTTCAATATTTCCCTCTCGATAATAACCCCCTAATAAGCAATTATATGTCGAAATGTTAGGACAAATCAGTTTGTTCGACATCAACTCACGAAGTGTGACTGCTTCTTCCATTTTGCTAGCCTTACAATGAGCATCAATAACTGTATTAAAAGTTAGTACATTTAAATCTAACCCTTGCTTCATAACATCATCAAACAACTCTTTAGCCTCTCCGAACATCTTCATTTTTGAAAACCCATTTATCAGTACATTATAAGTCCGAATATTAGGCTCCAATCCTAGACGTACCATTTCTGCACGTAAACCAAGAGCCTCATCAACTTTCCCATCACCAAAGAACCCATTAATTAACGAGTTAAACGTTACAATGTCCGGTCTCATCCCTTGAAGCCGCATTTCTTTAAAGAGCTTCGTAGCTGCCCCGACATTGTCGTCCTTACAAAACCCATCAATAAGAGTATTATAAGTTCTCTGATTTGGACTCACCCCCTGCTCCACCATTTCTCTCAAAAATGCATCAGCTTTATACATTTTCCCATCCCCGCCCCTCTTGCAATACCCATCAATCAATGTATTGTAAGTAACCACATTCGGAATAATCCCCCGAACCTTCATATCTTCCATCACATCCTTAGCCTTATTCAACTTCCCCACCTTACATAACCCATTAATTACAATATTAAACGTGTACACGTCAACCTCAATTCTCCTCCTAATCATCTCCTTATACAAAAGCTCTACTACCTCAAATTTCCCCTCATTCACCACCCCTTTAAGCATCGGTTTACACGAAAATACAGATAACTTAAATTCATAATCTCCAGCTCTCTTAAAAGCCTCCAGAGCTAAATCAAGCTTAGCATTATTAACATAAGCCAATACCAACATGTCAACAATAATAGAATTAGCACAAACATTATCACTACAAGTCAAGAGTGTATGAAAAACAGAAGAAACCGTATGGGTTTTCCCATACTTAACAAAATCATGCAATAAAGATCGAACCTTTGGGTATCTTTTATCATTGACTAACAAAATAAGCAGTTTGAATAAATGGTGAAGAGGGTGGTAAACCTGATAACCATGTTGAGACCATTTAAAGAAAGGCAAAATGGTGGCAGAATCAAACCCAGAATCAAAAAGTTGTTGAAGAAAAGAAGTTGGGTTAATGGGTTTAATTAGGTCCTTGAGTTGAGACCAGTGCTGCTTTGAAATCAGTTCTGAAACTCTAGATTTGAAAAGTGGGTCTGAAACCAAATTGGGTGTTGAAGTTGAGGTTGAGGTTGGCTCTGAATTAGCTGAAGATTCTGTGAAAAGGCAGCGAAGGGGTATACGGGTGTGTAGACAACGCCGAACGTAAGATACCGACATGGATACAGGCGATGAAACTATGGGAGAAATTGTGATTAGGAACAAGGATTCATGCGGAACATTGAGAGCCACGAGCAGACTACTGAAATAGGACTAAAATAGTCCAATCCCTATAAATTAAGGACCATTTTGATCATTTTCTTGCTTGTGGTTTTTACTGCATCCCTGTCAGCCAATTAGGTATAACTAATTTTCTACGAAAACCTATATGAATAATTATGTTTGTTTAAAATACGGCAAGTGTTTTTTTATTTATTTATTTATTTGAATTGCTATTTATTTTTTTCACGGCCAAAAGAGTCACGCATTGGATCCTAATAATCCAAGCTAAATAGCCTGGACCGTGGATCATTATATATCGTTTGAGGTATTAATGTGAAAAAAAGAGGAATTTATGCAGTGACTTAATATATTTGATATTTTGTATCGTCCATGTGATCATTTAATTAGTGATGCCATGGTTGAATGATATAATTTTGATAAAATCATAAGAGTAAAAAATTATGTGGTTCGTTTAATGTAACTTGAGACTTTAATGAATGTTCTAAGTATGACCAAGAGGTCATTTGGACAAATGCGGATACAAATTTAACTTTGTCGTTTGGTTACCGTCTCGGATAAATAAGGTTATCTTATGTGATTATGTCATTATTTTAATATAAAATTTATACCATTATTAAATATACCCATAATTAAATATGAGTTAAATATAATTTCAAATATCATAACGAGATTAGTATTTTTATTTCGATAACCAAACTACCACAAATAGTATAACACATCCAAGAGGAAAAAACAAAATAAAATAAAATGAGATACTCCAAAGGCACAAGCAATGGGAAAATAGTTTACGGGTTTGGGAAGTGCACAGTTAGCCACTAATTAGAGATGTCTTTACCTTTTAGTCACTATTTAAAATGTATTTACCTTTTAGCCACTGCTTAATAAATTTGTACCCGCCCAGACGAAAATACCCCTGTACTAGACATGGATGCTGTGTAACTACTAAGGACATAGTGTCCTTAACTTCATGAATGCTGTGTAAATATTAAGGACAAAGTGACTTATGTTTGCACCTTCCGTTATTAAACTTTAGGACATTATATCATTAACTTCATATGTGTAGTGTAAATGTTAAGGACATGGCGTTCTTAACTTCATGTGTACAGTGTAAATGTTAAGGACACAATGTCCTTAACTTGTATTTGCAACTGCTGTTTTTAAACTTTAGGACCTCATGCCCTTAACTTCATATGTACAGTTTAAATATTAAGAACATGGTGTCCTTAACTTCATGTGTGTAGTGTAAATGTTAAGGACATAATGTCCTTAATCTTATGAGTATTGTGTAAATATTAAGGACACGGTGTCCTTAACTTCATGAATGCTGTGTAAATATTAAGAACAAAGTGTCTTGTATTTGCACCTTCCATTGTTAAACTTTAGGACATCATGTCCTTAACTTCATATGTGCAGTGTAAATGTTAAGGACACGACGTCCTTAACTTCATGTGTGCAGTGTAAATGTTAAGGCACAACGTCCTTAACTTCATGTGTGCAGTGTAAATGTTAAGGATACGATGTCCTCAATATTTACACAGCACTCATGAAGAAAGGGTAGCAACGTCTTTTTATATTAATTTTAATAGAGTAATGACTATTTTTGATCAGCATTAAAAATACTGATAAAAACTAAATACCATATTAAAAAGTGGCTATCCCACGCCATTTCTACCTATTTTTGGGAAATTTAGTTACCCATCCAGCAGAAATTCAACTTTAAGTATTCGGCCCATTTGCTACTAACTTTGAGCCCAACTTTGACTTCAAAATCAAGCCCATAAAAGAACTCGTTTGAGCTCAGCCCATATCATGCAGTGGTCAATGTCCAAAAATTATACAAATATAACACTTTTTGGAGTGGTCTTTAGTTTTTGACCCCTGCTTACCCCATGGGCAGAATTTTCAGGTTAAAAATATTGTCCATGGAACAAGCGAGGACCAACGCTTGTTAAACTTGAAGTTTTATCTATAGGGCAAATGGAATTTTTTTTCAAAATCATCCACTTTGTGGGTTATTTGTGTACGTCACCCGTCAATATAAGATATTTCGATGACGCAAAATCCCTTTTCGGCATGTGAAGGTTCCTTTTTGCCCTTCATTATACATGTTTGTTCACATGTTAGTTATTTGGTGGTCACAACGTAGGGATCACTTAATGAAACTGGATTGTATACTTCGAATAATAATAAAAGAATTTATATATATAAAATAATGATCAATAAAAGAAGGAATCGTTTAGTTTACGATTTAGTCATGCGAGAAACAAGGATTATTTATACGCTCAATAATAATGCGGCAATTGTTACCGTGTATAACAATATATATAGAAATTGTTATGTAGTGAACAATACATGAATTATTTAATTCAAAGGCATTTTCCTCCTTAAATATTTTATCAACGTATTGTTAATATAAATAGTTTTAGTTACATTCTATCTCGTATATAAACAATACCTAAATTTTTGTATAAATTATATCAAAATTAGTAATACAATATTTAATTTTCGATATTAAACTCCGCATAATTTGTTATTTGTCAAACATATAATTCAAAAGTGACATACGAAGTCAATATAATATATTTATTAACCATATTATACCAACGCCAAAGTAAAATTCACATCCACGTACGCTTCGTCTAAATTTGCTGTGAGAGAGTGTTTTAAAAGGAAAATGAAGTCTTCCTATTGAAGTGAGTTTGACAAGAGGTTAAGAAATCTCTATCACAATGATACTTTGACATATTTCCTATCACGAGGAGTCAAATGATGGACTCTCACAATCACGAGCTTTCAGTTCTTGAAATTTTCAGATAATGATTTGGAATTGTATGTACCTGTAGTGCTATTCTACTTAGCTATTTCGCCACTTATTAGTCTCATCATTTCCTTTCTGTAGTTGGAAAAAGTTGAAGAGCTGTAACAACAAAGAAAGTAGGCTTCTTTCTCATTCTTTCAATCATTTTCTTAGCCGAAATATTAAAAAGATAGAAAGGTCTTGTTGAAAGTATAGTCATAATCATAGAAGTTTCTACTTTAATTTCATGCCCCAGCATATTAGTTTTACATTTTCTCATCATATTCTCCCTTTTTTCCCCTTTGGAAAAATGTGGATGCTGAGAGCTTAAAGGAGAAGATGTAAGGTCGGTTAAGTGGGTAGGTGTGACTAGTCAGTTCAAAGAAACCTCTTATTCAACATTTGGGCTATTTTCATAAGACCATCTTTAACATACTCAAATTGAAATAAAATTCTTGAAGAAGCAGCAATTAGTAAAATTATCAAATTTCACAATCTCCAGCAATTTACTCACAAACTACCTTGGGAAATGAATCCACATATATCATCGCCAGTATAACTTAAAAATGGACAAATACATATGTAGGCCCTCAAACTTGTCCCTTTTTGTCACTTAGACACCTAATCATAAGGTTGTTCCTATCAGGAAAAGGGCGAGTGAATATGAAAAAAACTTGTTGATTTTTTTTTATTTATTATTATTATTATTATTATTATACTTCATATTATGATTATTTTATATATCCTAATATATTATTCCTATTAAAGCCAGATCGCCATTTTTTTTCTTGGCAAAATCGAAGGCAAAGTTGCTTGCCCTCTTAGGTTTCTTAAGAATTTCATTGTCATACCACCTGAAAAAATTGCAAACAACTCTGCCTTCGATTTTGCCAAGAAAAAAATGACGATCTGGCTTTAATAGGAATAATATATTAGGATATATAAAATAATAATAATATGGAGTATAATAATAATAATAATAATTAAAAAAAATCAACAAGTTTTTCTTATGTTCACGCGCCCTTTCCCTTGACAGTGTTTAATGGCACAAATGTGATTTAGTTGGATTGCCTGATAGGAACAACCTTATGTTTAGGTGTTTAATTGGCACAGATGAATTTAGTTGGAGTGCCTGATAGGAACAAACCTATGTTTAGGTGTCCAAGTGACAAAAGGGGACAAGTTTGAGGGCCCACATATGTATTTGGCCTTAAAAGATCGTTAAAAAGACACGAGCCTAATTAAAATATCTTAAAAGTTATGATTGACTCTAACTTAACCACTCGGGGCTTCTTACAGTTTAATATAAGGATGGCATGTGGGTCGGCCCCGGTCCTAAGTGGGTTTCGTAGGCCCGGTCCTAAGTGAGTCGGTCCTATGTGGGCCAGTCCTAAGTAGTCCCGGACTTCGCGGGCTTCTTGTTGGAACCGTCCCGGGACCAAGACCACGAACTAACGGTCTCAGGCCTAAGTGGGCTCAAGGGGGCCGAATAGGTACNATATATATAAGAAAAAGTATAATTATAAAAAAATTGGGGTTAAAACAAAGTTGGGGGATTAAATGGCTATTTTATAAATAGCCAACGACTATTTTGGCTGGTAAAATGGCCATATTTTAAATGTCATAACGGCTATAATGTGGCAATTTTTTTTTTTAAAAACAATTAGCCGTTGGGCCCGGATAGGCCCGTTTAGGACCGCTTGAACTGGCCCACTTCTCAGTTAATCCCGGTTCCAACCGGTCCCGATCTAGCGGGCCTCGCCTATGGGACCAGCCCACCTCCCCACGGGCCCGGTCCTATTCGGTTAGGACCGTTTAGGCCCACCGCCCATTTGGTCTTGCGATCCTGGGCCGGGCTCGGTCCTAACCGGCCCACATGCCACCCTTAGTTTAATAAATTGAAGGGATTTTTTTCTTCATCCAATATTTCCTATTTTTTATTTCATCTTGGATTAGTTTCAAAATATGTTTACAGTAATATTTATTTCTTCTCAAATTAGTTTCATGTAATGAGTGCTTTTTGTATTGTAAACATGCATAGTTATTATTTGTGGCTTGAATTATTTTTTTGTATTTTTAAAAAAACTCATAATCCCTATAAGTCTGAGAATACCCATTGTCCTAATAGATTTGGGAAAGAAAAATCTATTGTCCTTGTCAAATTGAGAAACCCTTCTCTTATAGGTTTGTGACTATTTGGGATATATATAGAGAGAGGTTGTAGCTGAGGATTCTATAGATCGATTA